CTTGTTTTTTTAATTATAAGACCAACACATGTAATCGTATCTGCCAACCCAATGACTAGATCAATAAATATTAAACTTTAGCATGCTTTAGAATCACCTGGATAGCTTATTAAAACTCAGACTGCTGGGCCTTATCTAGAGAGTCTCTGATTCAATAGATCTGAGTTGGGGCTCAAGAATTTTCTTTTCTAATAAGTTTCCAGGTGATGCTGATACTGCTGGTCTGGGACCACACTTAGAATACTATAGAACTAGACTTTTAATAACAATCTACACACATCTCTGTGCTCCACACCTGACCTGACCCCCTACCTCCTTCCCATATGTACTTTCCTGAATTCTGTGTTTAAAATAATGATAAAGTTTTTTTTCTTTTGTATTGAGATGAAATTCACATAATCTAAACTTAACACTTTTAAAGTGTACAATTCAATGTCATTTAGTACATCCAGTGTTGTCCAATAATTCCTTCTATTTAATTCTAAAATATTTTCATCCCCCACAAAAGAGACCTTGTACCCATGATAAAGTTATTAATTCCCCAGTATGTATCACCTGGTCACCTATCATACACTTAAAAACTAGCTCTCTGGGCCGGCCTGGTGGCGCACTCAGTAGAGTGTGGCACTTGGGAGTGCGGCAGCGCTCCCGCTGAGGGTTCGGATCCCATATAGAGACCGGTCCGCTCACTGGTTGAGTGCGGTGCAGGCACGACACTGAGGGTTGCAATCCCGTTGCCGGTCGCAGTACGGGCGTGACACCGAGGGTTGCGATCCCGTTACCGGTCACGAAAAAAGACAAAAAGGAAAAAAAAAAAAAAAAACTAGCTCTCTGCAGGACACCCTGAATCTCATCAAACATGCCCTTGGGGAAAATAGACCAGAATTTGAGAAGGCAAGTCCCATGCTTCAATGCTGGTCAGAGCTCATCAGTTAGAAGAAGCTTCTTCCTGGAAGACCTCAGCCACCTCCATAGGGAACAAGAGGACAGCACCTCCAGGTCCCTTGCAAGGACCACAAGGCAAGGCTGAGTCCACTGGGGTTTCCAAGTCACCAAGGGTGGGAGGAGAATAGAGTGACCCCCTTGAGAGGGTGATTGGCCACATAACCTGGGGCACTCAGCCCACCCCTGGCTGTTATAGCCCTGCACAAACACAGACTCTCTCTTCCTAGCTCACACACAACCTGAGAGAGTTTGTGCTTGAGTAAATAATGAGGATAGAAGTTATGTGTGTACTTCAGAT